AGAATGACACTCTCCAGGGACATCCATGTTGCTACAAATGGCATTATGTTGTCATTTTTATGGCTGAATAGTACTCCATTATATAAATATACCACATCTTCTTTATCCAGTCATCTGAGGATGAACTCAGTTTTAAGGGAAATAAAAGCCGGATGGCTTCGGACTTCTGTCACAGAAACCTTCAGTAGCAAAAGACAGTGAAGGAGCATCTACAGTAAACTCAAGAGAAGAAAGTGAGTCAGGAAGTCTAACTCAACCAAGCCTTTCTTCAAGTAAAAAGGGGAACACTTTTGTTTTACTTTGAGGTCATCTTTAAGGACTCTGATTAGTCAGAGTTCTTTTACAGTCTCATCCAAGTTCAACACATTGTGTTATGTATGTATGCATGTATATATATTTATGTTGTATATGTATGTATGTGTTATAAATGTATGATGCATGTGTGTTTCTATGTAGATAGGTTGGTATTATTTATGTAATAACACAATAAATGAAATGAACCCAACTGTAAGAACTAGAACATCATAGTAACTTATGCCTACCTATAGATTTTTCCGTCATGAGATGTCTCTGCCTCTCTAGACCAGAGGTAAGAAGTGTCCTTAATCGTCTGTGTGTGTGTGTGTGTGTGTATTTCTAAAACATTGGTTTTATTTCTTTTAACTTTGTGTGAAAGGTATTTTGCTGTATGTGATAGTCTAAGACTTCAGATAGAATACCCCATGAATTATAAGGGGCATGGTTACTCTATGTATCATTTTATTAGTCAGGCAGAAATCACACCAGATATTTGACAAGAGAAATTTGATCTAAAGCACTGGTGTTGGGTATAAAGTTGTTTTCCACTGAAAGAGTGAAATGAGAACTCTGTGGTATCACGGAGGTAGAAGCTAGGGGAAGAGCTGCCATCCCCTATGGCTGAGAAAACGAAGGAAACTAAGGGACAAACCTAGAAGAAGGGTCACCTGGGCCTGAAAAGGAGACGTGTGAGGAAGAAGCATTGCTAGGGTGATGCAGGTGTCCCTGAGCCCAGCAAAGGGGCCCCCTAGGGCTCTGAGCCAGGTCTCTGAGGAGGGGTGACTGCCTCTGCTGAGGTGATGTCACCAGACTGTCGCTGCAGGTGATGAGAAAACTACAAGCCGGATTCAGCTGCTGTTACAGGGGTGAATTACCACTGCTGCTGTGAAGACAGTTTGCTGGGGATGAGGTCCCAGGGACAGCAAACAGGAAGCCAACAGGAGGAGGGAGCCCGTCCTCCTCCTCCATCACTGAAGCCTCCTCTGGTGCCCCCTATTGACAAAGCTTTCCATGGAGACGCCTGGCCGAGCACAGTGTGCTCTTTCTTAGTGCCTACATCACAAAGCTGATTGTAGAAGACTGAATTTGGAGCCGAGGGACAATATCATAATAGCTGACACAACCACTAATAAAAAAGAAATTCTACCAAGTAAGCTAAGATTTCTGAGATGTCATAAGAATAATTGCACATGTTAGAATAGATGAAATATGGTACATTGCTGATTAATTCATATTATTGGATTTTGCTGTAGATAATTCATTTTGACTGCTGTATAATAGTTCGCAATGGGAATATACTGTAATTTATCTGTTATTTTGTTGGAGTGCTGTTGGATTGTTTCCAGGTTTTGCTGCAGCAGGAATCCTATTATGAATATTCTCTGCTTGTCTTCTAATGTCTTTGTCAAGATTTCTATTGGATATGAATGTTGGTGTGGAATTGCTGGCTCTTAGAGTTTGCAAATGTGCAGTCTTAAAATATGTTCCCAAACTATTTTCCATAGTGGCTGTAATAATTTACACTGTAGCTTGCAATTGACAGATCCTGTTGTGAGATATTCTCTCCAGCATTTGTTATTACCAGATAGCTTGAACATGTAAGAACTCAGGGAATATTGTTCATATGAACGTGATATTTGGTGGAAAAATTACTTTCAAAGGAAACTACAAGAAGACACACTTCGGCCAATGAACAGATGATTGGGGAAATTTTGGCTAAGGACTGGTGGTGATGAATATGAAGGTGAATATATGCATATACGTGTACGACTGGGACATTGTACTGTGCACTGGAAATTGACACATTGTAACCAACTATACTTCAATTAAAAAAAAAAGGCCTGGTGGTGAGAACTCTAGTTTCATATACTTGATTTGTATACATGGTGTCTTCCTTTGGATGGCTAATAGACATCTGCAACTCAACATGTTTAAAGATGAACTATTCCCACCAAATTTATTCTTCTGAGTGTCTTCCTCATCTTAGTTAATACCAACTTCATCTTTGCAGTTGCTAAGACAAAATACCTTGAATCTTCTTTTTTTCTCACATTCCTTATGCAAATGATCAGCAAAACCTTTCGGATCTACCTTCAAAATGAGTCAAGAATTCCATCACTTCTCATGATCTCTACACTACTACTGCCCTGGTCCAAGCCACCATGACTTTCCTTCTGGTTCATGATGACAGCCTCCCACCCATTCTCCCCAACTCCGACTTTGTCCTCCTTCGGTCTTTTTCTCCATCTAGCAGCTTCAGT